GAGCCCGGAGACCAAGGCAGGAGGGCCCAGACATGGTGAGACCTCGTTTTAAAACAAAACAAAACAAAACCAAAGACGGCGAAGAAGGCCCGCTGGTGGTGTGGCTAAGGCAGTTGGATCCCATGTGGCCGACTTTGCAGGTTGGGTCACACCAGGTGCGTGTGCACCCCAGACCCTGCACGGTGGAGAAGGGGTTGCAGCATAGCTGTCTCTGGGCTGCACTCACTTGCTCTCTCGCTCTGAGGCATGCGCATGCCCTGTAGCAAACAAACGAAAAGAATGAACCAGAGTTCTGTGTAATTTGATGCAAAGACTAGCTTACAGGTGCCTGGCCCTGAAGCGGAGCTATGACGGTACCCACTGTACAGACGAGGACACCGAGTCACAGAGCAGCTGGGAGGGGGCACAGCAGGCAGTCCTATGGCCTCTGCAGCATGAGGTGGGATGGGACCGCAAGCCAGGAAGGGTGCACTCAGTCCTTGCGCCCTGACGCACAACAGAAGTGGCCCTGGAGTGCCGGAGCTGCAGAACCGACATGAGGTCAGGGCCAGCCTGTGCCGCGCGGCTCAACTGCTGCTGGTCTTGCGGAAGACCTGGGTTTGTACAGTCCCCTCGGGCACGCGTGTTCCAGACTGCAGCTTCTGGGAAGGCTGGTGGGGAAGTGGGTGGTGGCCCGAGACCTGGTGTGCTTGTGCATCTCTGTCGCTCACTCTTGTGAAAGAGAGGAAGAAACGTAAAGGACCAGCCTGGTGTGAAGGGGTTGGACTGACCGCAGTCCAGTGGAAATGCTGCCCGAGGAGAGCCCGCGCTGGTGCGGGACGGCAGCTAGGGGAGGCCAAGAGCCACAGCATGCAGGCCGTGACTGGGCAGTGCTGCTGTTCCTTGTCTTTAAAACCGCGTGTCAGGGGACCCGCAGAGGACATAGTGGCTATATCACTGGACTCCCACATGGTCGACCATGCCTCAGGTCCCGGACCTGGTGGCTTAAACTCACACTGGGCGCGTGTGCGTGCGTGCCCAAGATCCCGAGAGGAGAATGGAGGAGAAGGGATTGTGGCGTGGCCATCCCCCCGGGGGGATGATTTCTCGCTTTCTGTCTCTCTGTCTCTGTCTGTCTGGCAAGCACACGCGCCCTATAGCAAAAAACTCTCAAAAAAAAGAGAATGGTTCATAACCATATGGCGTCCGCAACGCCGGCCACCAGGTGAGCCTGGGCCTGCCCTGCTGCTAGGGAACGCACTTGGGACTTCTGTGGTCAGGGCAGCCACAGAGCTCAGAGTGACTGCCTCCGCCTGGCCTGGGCTCTTGGACACTGTCCTTCCTCCTGGCTGCGTATGTAGAGGGGAGAATGTCTTTTTCCTTTTGCTTAGAGAGATTCTTGCTATAGAGCACTCACTATAGAGAGAGACAGAGATGGAGAGTGAGAAACCACTCCTCAGGGGATGGCCACATGCAGTCTCCTCTCCGTGGGAGAATGTCTGTGGGCTCCCGTGGACAGCAGATGGAGGGGCGGGGACCCCCAGGTGCAGGGGCAGCCTGGACCAAGGCTCGGTGGTAGGAAAGGGTAAGTGTGGGGCAGGGTCAGGCCAGAGCCCACGCTAGAGGTGTGGCTGGGCAGGTCCTGAGGAAGGGGCGGATCACGGACTCTGTGCTGCAGGCACCGGGGACTCGGAGTGGTGGTCAGGGAGCGCCCGGAAGGTCCGTCAGGGTGTGGCCTCCCAGGTTCGTGTCACAGAGGAAGTCGGCTGATGATCCAGGCGGGTAAGAGCAGCAGCGGAAGGACATGCTTCACGCTGCTGATTGGCAGGCTGGGGCCACCTGGGAGGCCCCGGGTCAGTTCCCTGCCTACCCTGAACTGCCGGGGTGCCATTACACGCCTGAGGTACCAGCTGCTCGGGAGGCTGAGGGAGGAAAGTTGCAGCATGGTGAGACCCGTCTGAAAAGACACCATCCTGGGGCCAGCAGGTTGTGTGGTTGTTGAAGCACTCGACTCCCACGTGGCCGACCGCAGTTCAAGTCTCAGACCTGGCAGCTTGCTTTCCTACTTTTCCTCTCTCTCTGGTGAGTGCACGTGGCCTGTAGCAAATTAAAGTCATAATAATGGGACCAGCAGTTGGCATAATGGCTATGTCGCTGGTCTCCCATGTAGCCGACCGAGGTTCGAGTCCCAGACCCAGTGGCTTAAACTCATGCTGGACATGGGGGTGTGTGTGCCCAAGATCCTGAGAGGAGAATGGAGGAGAGGGGATTGCAGCATGGCCATCCCCCTTGGGGGGGTGATTTTTCTCTCTCTGTCTCTCTCTGTCTTTCTGGCCAGTGCATGCGCTCTATAGCAAAAACCTCTCCCCCCACCAAAAAAAAATAATAATAGTAATAATAAATACAATTAAATAAATAATTCTTAAAAATAAACATCGTAAAAGTAAAGTGAGCTTTCCCCTGGGGGTGACTTCTCCCCGGCTCTCTGGCGAGTGCATGCACCAGATAGCAAAAATCTCTCTAAAACAAGAAAGTGAAGTGAGCTGTGTTGAGGGCATGGAGCTCCGTGTTGGGTGATGAGAACGCCCTTGGCCGTGGGTGTGGGATGGGCGCACCCCGGGAGGACACCGGAAGGCACTGGGTTGCACACTAAGGTGGTGGCCCGGACGGTATGTGGCTGGGCTGGCCTGGGCGCAGCAGTACCGTCCGCTCAGGAGAACCCAGCTGCGCGCGGCAGCCATGCCCAGTCGGCCTGAAGCATGTTGGGCCCAAGTGCCCGGGGCCAGGGCAGGATGAGGAGGACCGTGGCACGGCCAGACCCTGTGAAGGGCGCTCACCTCACGCCCTCTCTTGCATGTCACGCTCGCTACATGCATAAGGAGAAAAGATTGAAAAGGGAAGCTGTGGTTAAAATAACCTTTTCGACTTAGCAAGCTAGAAGGCTATCTTCTCCCTCCATATGATGGCATATGGCGGGACCAGCAGATAGCCTGGTGGTTAAGGCACTGGACTCTCACAGGACTGGCCACAGTTCCAGTCCTGGACCTGGCAGCTTGCCTTCTCATTCCCTCTCTGTCTCTGGTCAAATTAAAATAATAACAATAATCATAAGTAAAACGAAATAAAATATTTATTTAAAAAATGGTGTATGGGGCTTAGAGAGTTTGTGGAAAACAGATTAAAGTACAAGTTTATTTTGGTGCAAAAGTTTTTTTTTTTTTTTTTTTTTGAGAGATTTTCACTGTAGGGCGCGTGCGCTCGCCAGACAGACAGAGAGAGACATAGAGACAGAAAGCGAGAAATCACCCCCCAGGGGGGATGGTCACGCCGCAATCCCTTCTCCTCCATTCTCCTCTCGGGATCTTGGGCACGCACGCACACGCGCCCGGCGTGAGTTTTAAGCCACCGGGTCCGGGACATGAACCGCGGTCGACTACGTGGGAGTCCAGCGACATAGCCATTACGCTAACTGCTGGTTCCCTTGGTGCAAAAGTTTTTGATATGCATAGTTTTTCCATGATAAATATTATAAATTTGTAATATATAAAATTGTTATATAGAGATTATCAAGAATATTCGACCAGGGGCTAGCAAGTGGTATGGTGGTTAGGGACGCTGCACTCCCATCTGTGGCTCAAGTCCAAGACCTGGTAGCTTGCTTTTTCACTTTCCCCCTCTCTCTCTCTCTCGCTCTATCCCTCTCTGGGCAAGTTAAAAAAAAAAAAAGGTGAATAAAATAATTCTTTTTTTTTTCTTTTCTTTTTTTCCTGTGGAGAGGTTTTTTGCTCTATGGTGCATGTGCTCACCAGACAGACAGAGAGAGACGGAGAGACAGAAAGTGAGAAATCACCTCCCAGGGGGGATGGCCATGCCGCAGTCCCTTCTCCTCCATTCTCCTCTCGGGATCTTGGGCACGCACGCACACGCGCCCAGTGTGAGTTTAAGCCACCGGGTCCAGGACTCGAACCGCGGTCAACTACATGGGAGTCCAGCAACATAACCATTACGCTAACTACTGGTCCCAAGGTAAATAAAATAATTCTTTAAAAAAGAACATTCAACCAAAGGGGGGAGAGAAATGTTCCAGGCCGTCAATTAATGAAAACACTGTGTTTCTTTCCTCCTATAGGAAAGAAGAGTAGTAGTGATGGGAGCTTCAGAGAGCTGAAGTAACAAAGCCTTTATTCTGAGAAATTTTTGTTACAGGGCGCGTGTGCTCGCTGGAGAGACAGAGACAGACAGAGAGACAGAAAGTGAGAGATCACCCCCCCAGGGGGGATGGCCACACTGCAATCCCTCCTCCTCCATTCTCCCTTCAGGATTTTGGGCATGTATGCACACGTGCCCAGAATGAGTTTGAAGTTGCTGGGTCCGGGACTTGAACTGCGGTTGACTACAGAGGGAGTCCAGCGACGCACCCATTATACCATCTGCTGATCCCATACTCTGATTCTAAGAACTAGTCTAGAGCTGGCAGGTGGCATGGTAGTTAAGGCACTAGACTGCTACATGGCCAACCATGGTTCCAGTCCCAGACCTGGCAGCTTGCTTTCTCACTTCCTCTCTCTCTGATCAAATTAAAATTTTACATATATATATATATATATAGTAGAGAGGTTTTAGCTATATAGGGCCCGGGGGGGATGACCACGCCGCAATCCCTTCTCCTCCATTCTCCTCTCTGGATTTTGGGCACACATGTACATGCGTTCGAAGTGAGTTTTAAGCCTCTGGGTCCAGGACTAGAATTGTGGTCAACTACGTGGGTGACCAGCGACATAGCCATTAAGCCATCTGCTGGTCCCATAAATAATTCTTCAGAGCTAATTTAGTCACAGTTTCGGCTACTAGTAGCCAAGAGCATCCTGACCGAACCGCCAGGGTGGCTGCAAGGTTGGGAAGAAGGTGAGAGCGATGGCCCAGCTGAGACAGGGTGACACCGGCCCTGGGGCTGCAGGAGCAAGGAGGATCAAGCTGAAGGAGTGCAGCCCGAACCCTCTCCCCTGTGTCTGTCTTTCTAGGTGACAGAGATGGTTACGAGCCTCCCTGCACACAGGACACACCTTCGAGAAGGGGCATGTCCAGGGGGACCCCCAGTGCACGCACACCTGGATCCACATTCACCACTAGCGCCACCAGGAGCCCAGGCCATCCAGCTCTGGCTCCCAGAATCCACGGGGACACAGGTAAGGTCATGGCTGGGGTGAGGGATGTGGCCGGGAGATGGGTTCCAAACTCCCCAGTGGCAACCTAGCTCTTACCCCAGACCTACATTAATACAAGAAGCCTCCAGAAAGTTCATGGAAAATGTACATTATGAAAAAGTTACGCATGGATTTCAATTTTTGTGCACCAAACCAAAATAAACTTGCACTTTGATTCCATTTTCTCATGAACTTCCTGAAGTCCCCATACGTATCTCCTAAACCAAGGGATTATTGTTACCTAGACCCTGGCCCTCTATGAGGGGTGGTTCTGCATTTGGCATTTTGGATTGCCATGACTGGAAGTGGAGAGGCCGCCCACTGCCCCTGATGGGCAGGAGCTGGGATGGCATTAAAGGTCCGAGGACACCTGGGGCAGCGTCCTTGGCAGAGGACGTCCAGCCCAGGCGTCGGTGTGGCTGAGGCTGAGGCCCTGACTTAGACTGTGGAGGTCGCTCTGACACACAAGATGACAGGAAGCTTAAAGGAGGATGAGCCAAAGACGCAAACAGGTGAGTTACAGGAAATAACGCCCCAAAGGCCACATACATATAGTGATGCTCGTGCTCAAAAAGAATTGGAAATACAGGGCCAGCCAGGGCGTGGTGGTGAAGGCCGCTGGGTCCCACATGGCCAGCTGCGTGCTTCGAGTCCCAGACCCAGTGGCTTGAAAAACACACTAAGTACATGTGTATACACGCTCAAAATCCTGAGAGGAGAATGGAGGGGAAGGGATTACGACATGGTCATCTCCCCTGGGGGTGGTGCTTTCTCACTTTCCTCATCTCTGTCTCTCTGGTGAGCACAGATGCCCTATGGCAAAAAAAAAAAAAAAAAAGGAAAGAAAAGAAAAAAAATACAAATAAAAACAATGGTATGCATAGAAAATAGTAGAATGTGGATAATAGTAAGTGTGGGCAAGACTGTGGAGAGGCAGTCGTCCCTCCTGGATATAGCTGTGTGATAAAATAATGTTGCAGTACTTAGTAAAATTAAGTATGATGACAAACTATAACCCTGCAAGCCTATGCCTATATTTATATTCCAGAGAAATTCTTCTTCTTCTTTTTTTTTTTTTTTGTTGAGACAGAGTGAGAGGGAAAGTGAGAAAGCAAGCTGCCAGGTCCAGTACTCGAACCGTGGTCGGCCATGTGGGAGTCCAGCATTCCTAACCATCATGCCACCTGCTGACCCCTCCAGAGAAAATTTTTTTTTTTTGGAGAGGTTTTTGCCATAGGGCGCGTGCACTTGCCAGAAAGACAGAGAGAGACAGAGAGACAGAAAGTGAGAAATCACCCCCCGGGGGGATGGCCACGCTGCAATCCCTTCTCCTCCATTCTCCTCTCGGGATCCTGGGCGCGCACTCACACGCATCTGGCATGAGTTTAAGCCGCCGGGTCCGGGACTCGAACTGTGGTCGACTACATGGGAGTCCAGCGACATAGCCATTACGCTAAGTGCTGGTCCAGAGTTCTTACAGTGGCTTATACAGAGACACACATGAGGCTGGTTTTGGAACTCTGCTGTCAGTAGTTGGAGGCAAGTGTCCAGCACTGGGGAGATGGACCAGAGAAAGGCAGCGGCACACGCCGTGGGGGCGACAGCAGCTGGAGCGGTTTCTGGTGCGCACACGCCGCAGGGGCAGGCGCTCACAGTGTACTAGTGAAGGGGGAGAGTCAGAAACGAGACTTCCAGCCGCCGTTACTCGTAAAAATTAGAAGCACAAACCCCAATGCATATATGCTTACAAAAGGCCCTGGGCTCTGAGAGTGCGCCTGGTAAGACCGCAGGTCAGGTGCACGGACTGGAGGTGCCTGTGGGAGAGGTGAGGAGGAGATTGGGGGAAAAGGATTGGAATGGAAGTAAAGCAGGACGAGAGGCGATGCTGCAGGGACCACAGAAGACGACGGTTTATTTTTTTTTTGTTTTGCTTTTTTTGGAGAGGTTTTCGCTATAGGGCGCGTGCGCTCACCAGACAGACAGAGAGAGACAGAGAGACAGAAAGCGAGAAATCACCCCCCAGAGGGGCTGACCACCCTGCAATCCCTTTTCCTCCATTCTCCTCTCGGGATCTTGGGCACACACGCACACTCGCCCGGTGTGAGTTCTAAGCCACCGGGTCCGGGATGTGAACCGCGGTCGACTACGTGGGAGTCCAGCGACATAGCCATTACGCTAACTGCTGGTCCCTGAAGACTACGTTTTGAGGAGTATACTTCGCTCTGCACCTTGGGCCTGGAAATCTCGAAACATCGCCGCTGTAGGTATCTGAGACGAGATTCTGGAAGCCCATCCATCAAGCAGCATGCCCTGTGCTGAGCACTGTCCCTTCAGTCTTCATACAGCCCTGGGAGCTCGACGGCACGGGCTGGAGCTCTGCCCATTTCACGGAGGGGAGAAGTCGGGGCCCAGACAGCAGGGACTGACAATAATCACGGGAGTGCGTGGAGCTCGCTCAGCATGGTGCTAAGTGCATTTCCACCTGTCCGCGAGTCCTCGTGGCCAGTCTGCAAGGGAGATGCTTTGGACACCCATGGTCCACACGTAGGGCAACTGAGATTCAGGCGGCTGAGAGACTTGCCCGGCCACCCTGCTAAGAAGTGCTGGAGCTAGGACTTGAACAGCCAGACTCAAGGCCAAGCCATCTCCACTCTTTAAAGGAGGATGGAGGGACCACCAGATGGTGTCATGGTTACATCCCTGGACTCCCACATAGTGGACCATGGTTTGAGTCCCGGACCTGATGGCTTAAAACTCACATCAGATGCATGTGTGCGTGCGTGTGCCCAAATCCCAAGAGAACGGAGGAGGGATGCGATGTGATATGTGTGATGTGGCCACCGCCCTGGAGAGTCTGTCTCACTGGTGACCACACCCGCCCTAGTCCTAGCGCAGAAATCTCTCTAAAGAAAAAGGAGGGTGGGGAAGGGGTGCCTCCCGAAGGCCTGCAGGAGGAGGAGGAAGACCCTGGAGCTGTGCTGTCCCATGCTGGCAGCTGCTAACAGGGGTGACAGTTTAAATGTAAATGCACCAAATGCAGAAAGCGGCCACTCGGCTTCCCCCGGCTGGCACCTGGCCTCATCTCAGGTGCTCAGTAGCCGGGGCCCGTGGCCGCCCCGCTGGACAGTGCAGACCGCCCACCAGCCGTCTCTGAGGACGTGTGGAACAAATCTCGTCCCCAGACTGCGTCCGCGTGGCTGCAGGCAAGTGGCCTGATCTCCTTCAGTGTAGGAAGGGTATGAAGTCTGGACTCGCCTGACACCGGGCCAGGAAGAGGGTGAGGCTCCTGACTCAGGCCCCAAGTGTAAAGGCACACCAGAAAGCTGGCCAGGAGGTAAACACAGTCCTGCCACAGTGCTCACAGCGGTGAGCAGTAACGCGGCCCAGCGGGGCGTGGGCCTCTCGGGGACGTTGGGGTCCGTGTCCTAAGGTCTCCCTGTACACGCAGGGCACACGTGTGCCCAGGCTGGGCTGGCTGAGTCATGGAGCCCCTGCTGGGGCCACTTTCTCTCTGTTGCTCTTAGGAGAAAGAAATAAAATACAGTTGGAAAAGAGATCGAGGCCCGTCAGTGGTGTGGTCGTAAGGTGTTGGCTCCCACGTGGCTGACAGCACAGCTTGAGTCCCGGACCTGGTGTCCTAAAAATCACGCGTGGCCATCCGCCTGGGGGTGATTTCTCGCTTTCTGTCTCTCTGTCTCTGTCTGTCCGGCGAGCGCACGCGCCCTATAGCGAAAACCTCTCCAAAAAAAAAAAAGAGTTAACTTTTTCTTCACTGGATTTTCTCTCAGTTTTGATTGTTTAAAATATTACATACACCGGTGTGTCTTGAGGGGCCAGCAAGTGGAGTAGAGGTGACAAGTTAGAGCTCTGGACCTAGTGGCTTGCTTTCTCACCTTCCCTTTCGCACTCTCTCTGTTTTTGGTGAATTAAAATAATAACAATAAACAAAATTAAATTCATATTTTAAAAAGTACACGTATCTTGATGGCTAGGGTTACCCTTCCACACCACCTGGCAAATCGCTGCCTCCTTTCCTGCCCTGACACCTTCCTACCCTAGTGCCTCAGAATTCCCGTTCTCTGCACCCTCTGGACGCTGCTGCACCCCACACGGCACTCCAGCCTTCCCCGCCTCTCCCGCACCCCCAACGTGCGTGCGCGTGTGTCCCTGTTCCGCCCCTCCCGCACCCCCAAAGCGAGTGCGCCCCAGCTCCGCCTCTCCCGCACCCCTACGCGTTGCGTGCCCCCGTTCCTCCTCTCCCGCACCCCCAAAGTGTGTGCCCCTGCTTCGCCTCTCCCGCACCCCCAACGCGCATGCGCCCCCGTTCCGCCTCTCCCGTACCCCACGTCGCGTGCGCTCCTGCTCCGCCTCTCTCGCACCCCCACGCGGCCTGATCCCGAGTGTCCCGCCATCTCCTGCAGGAGAGGACACCAGGTGGCGCCTGGCGACATCCGCGCCGGCGGGAGGAGGGGCACTAGGGCCGGGCGAAGTCTGCCGGCGACCTGTGACGTCACAAGCTCTGTGCCTTCCCGTTGGCCTGCGCCTCGGGGGGCGGGGCGGGCTGACCTCGGCATCTGTCTTTGCTCCCCTAGGTTCCCCGCGGAGGAGGCCGTGGCCCGCTGCCAGGACTGCACCCCCCGCTCCGTCTCCTGCTCCCTCCGCCTCTCCGGGACCCCCGGACCCTCCGCTGACCTCTGACTCGGGGCCACAGCTTACCCCCGACTCGGCCGGGACGTGGGAGGCCACCTCCGTCCCTCCTGACACTTCGCCGCTCACCCCAGACCCGGCGTCCTGGATGAACCCTGACCTCATTTTGACAAGCCCTGATGACACCTTGTCCAGCCCTGACCCCGGGGAGGCTGTGGCGCTGACCCCGGCGCTCTCGCCCACCCCACCACCCACTGTGTCCACAGAGCTGACCTCTGATGCCTCGGTGCCCTCCGAGGGGACCCGCCTTTCCCCGGCCTCGCTGACCCCAGGATCTGGCCCGACCCAGAACCCCGACCCAACGTCACACCCTGATGCAGCCCCAGAGCCTTCTGGGTTTCCAGACCTCTCCACATGACCTCGCCCCCCCATGACCCCTCACCCCTCCACGTCCCCTCACCCCACCACCGCCCCTCAAACCACCG